TCTTAAAAAATTATGGCTGACAATTCTATTTATAGGTAATTAATTTATAATTCAATGGAATCATTTAAAAGTGTAAAATGTAGTGTAATAGTAAATGTAGTGTAGTAAAATGATATTGATACATCATAGAAATATATTTTAGAATGCTATTATTTGTGTTACAATATCATCGAAGTTCATGGGGAAATTTCTCACAAAGTCAGACATACCTATCTGTGCACCGTGTATCTTGTCGAAATGTTTATCCGTATATCTTCTCGAATGAAAGCGCTCGTTATTCCGTAATGAGCGCAATGCGATGCGACCATTTTGCACGAGACGATGAATCACTGTCCGCATTGACATTTCTCTGCTTTCTTGGGCTGAAAGAGCCCAGCGGGCAAGCCCGCAAGTCAGGTACGCTTTGAAAGCGGATGACGAAGCCGTTGTGAAAACCTCAATCTTTACGCTGTTTATTTCCTATAATTATATAATAAAACAAAAACGATACGACGCACTTATGCCATTTATAATTATAACTGCTTAAAACACATCACGATTTGTAATAATATAAAGTATAAAGTCTGCTTTTTATTTCTGCACTAGACTGCACTAGAACACTAGGGACAGTATTCATAGTCCGTTTTTTAAGAGAGAAACATTGGCTACGTTCAGCAGAACACAATAGTTTTGCAACCGTTTTATAATTCTCTGCTGAGATAGGACCATTCCTTTTAATCTAAAAGTATAACTCAATCAGCGCGAAGAAAACTATCAACAGTTGCAATATAAACATTCTACTGAACGTAGCCATTGGTTATGTTTGATGGATTCAACAGTTGAATAAGCGCTCGCTGCTATTGGTATATTCTTCTAGATTTACAATTCTAATTAGATGTAAAAGAATACACCAATAATAGCAAATGCTCACTCAACTGTTGAGTCCACTGAATACGCCCATTGACATTCATTTTGATTGGCAGTCTGATGTATATTCTGATTGGCTATTCCTTCCTAAGTAAAACAGCAGTATTGTGTACCGCAAGCTTGAGCAGTTGATACACATGGTCAATTAAAATTTATAACATTTTTTTCCTCTGGACATCTAGTATCATATTGTATATACATACGCACATCACATGCGCGGATAGATGACTTTTTAAGAAATTTATGTTTAGTAGTCCAACATAAAAAGTTTATACATATTTAAAAAGCTACAAAAAGAAAAACAGCTTATTACTTAATTTTTTCACGAAGTTTTATGCTACAATAATATTATTCTTGAATTTTGGAATATCTTGTACAATTATATTATTATATATTATATGATACATTATCATTATTATATTGTTACATAATATAATAAATTACTATAATATATTATTTCATGTACATACAACAGGAAATAATTAAAAAATTTTTAAATAATAATATTAATTACACACACACACACACACACACACACACACACACACACACACTTTAGATCATATTATGTATTATTAATGATGAACCAAATGAATACAAATTTTTTATTTTAAATATCATGATCACACATAATTATACATATAATCTTTTAAAGTTTTAACATAACACATCATAATATAAATTACATTTTCTAATGTAATAGTATTAATACCAAATATATATAATAATATATATATTTAATTAATTTACTTTAATATAAAATATTGGCCGTGTATACACTACCAGTACTGAAAATCTATAGTTCGCGTTGCGTATACTGTAGATTTTCAATACTTGTAATATATATTGAAACATAGCTATTGAGAAAATTAGTGTAAATATATATGTAAATATTAAATATGGGTAAATTAAATTATTAGCACCGAGATACTATTAAAGACCATCAATTCTGGGCAAAAATTTTCGATGATATAAAAAGGGTTCTAAGGACTTGGAGATAATTGAAGAACACTGACATTATAATTGATATAAATTTATTATTATTAACATAAATTTGGCTCATTCATTATTAAATTCATGATTTTTATTACATAAATGTTCCATAAAATAAATATGCATACTTGTAAAGCTATAATATCCTATATATTGCAGAAAAATTACAATTTTTTTTCTGCAGTTATCATCTCTGTTAATAATCAAACTTTAACGATAACATTGAAGTCATAATTTTAAAGAAAAATCGAGTATTGTTGAGTTCTAAATGCATAAATATGTCTACTAAACTACGTCTACGTCTAATAAATCATAAAATTAGTACAATATTATGTGTTTTTAACTCTTAATTACTTCAATACTATTCACACGATTTGCGTAAGGATGTCGGTCTTTAATAGTATCTCGTCGGTGTTAAGGATCCTCTTAAGGACATAGTCATAAACGTAGAATTTTAAAATCTATTCTATAATGTGCTTTTTGTTTCCTGTTTCTTATTTTTTACCTTTTGTTTTTAATTCTTTTGCAATCGTTTTATCGACAATTGTATTTCTTGCTATGTATTTCTTGTTTTTTTCGAAGTTCGTTAATTTTTATCTCAGGCGACATAAAACAAAAAACTGAATAAGAAGCAAAAAGACAAAATGTAAAAATAGCAAAAAGCAAGTAAGAAACAAAAGCACATTATAAAATTGGCTTAACTCTTATCTCAGGCGATATGAAACAAAAAACCAAATAAAAAGCAAAAGGATAAGATGTAAAAAATAGCAAAAAGCAAGAAACTGGAAACAAAAAACATATTGTAAAACTTTAGGAAACCAACCAATCAAATATAAGGAGAACAACTGATTAGAATTGGTCAGTTTCCTACGACTTAAGACTCCACGATCATCTACGGATGTGGTCAAAGTCTCGTTACAAATGCTTTGAAGCATTTGATGGACCAATGAGAAGAAAGAATTTTGAAAGAACCTGAATTAAAAAACGCTTCAAAGCATTTGCATCGTATTGCATCGTATACCATACCTTATAACTTCTATATAGAGGATCCTTTATTAATTATTATCAATATTATATTAGTCAATGCAAGTGAAATAGAAACGTAATTGAGCATCAGACTCAACAGGTGACTCTGCTTGCAATATATTGTGAACTTTCTGTTCTTTCCAATCTTCTTTGGTTCATTGTATCAATTGTATATCGAATGTTATGCGGTTCTTTGGCAAGTTTTATATATAGTTTATTACTCATCGATCATTTCATGAATCATCCAGTGGAATGAACAGAGTGAAGAAGAAGTTACATCCTATGTGCAAAATTCACGAAAAAGATCTTTACAAAACGTGCAATCGAATTTAATAAGATTATTTCGCTGATCTTGATAAGAATTTGAACTGATAAAATTAAATTTTACTGTGTGAAAAATAAATAGTCAGTGCGACTGACTTTACAATTAGTTACGTACTTAGCAATATTGAATTGCGTATTGCATTTCTCGACCGAAAACGAAGTTACATTTATACAAATTGTGGAAAACGGATTTTCATTTTTTTGTCACGCACTTCGTTTTGTTTGTGTTTCGTGCAACATATATTTCGGAAACAATAAACATTCCATATTTACGCAGTAAGTGCGTTTCTTCTCTGAAAATTGAATATCGGAGCGTTCGATAAGTTCAATCCTTATCGATTTCATCTTCTGATTAAAAATAAACAAGGCATTTAAATTCACTCAATCGATGGTGATAATTTCGCTGGATAACGCAAGACGATAAAACGAAACTCTCTTATATTCGTACCTTCACAAACTTTGATACATAAATTACGGAATATATACACGTAGAATATTTCATTTCGTTTTGTGCGTTCGTTTGTTCATTTTAAAAACATCACTATGGATTGCGAAATACCTCGCGACTTACAGATGTCTCATCTACGAGCGATTCAAAAAATACCGGGCAATATCGCTAATGAAAAATTACGTTGGATCGGAAGATTGACTTTGCACCAGACGAGTAAAGATCTTGAACAATTTCCGCCAGAATTACTACCTATATTGCGTGTGGAAACTGCCATCAAGAAGAAGAAGCACGAAGATATAACATCGGCGCTCAAGTGCGAAGATTCGACAATAATAAACCGGGCACTTAAAGCCTTCTGGTTTTTCGATGGTAGCCACAAGAAGATTATTAACGTCAGGTATTTCTGCGAACATCTATTCCCTTATGTTTCTATAAACACAAGGACACGTATTGTGCTAACACTCGCGCATCAGTTATCCGGGAAGGATCCAGTTTTCGCGCAGGAAATATTTACAGAAGTGGCATCTATTTACGGGATTCAAACCGCTTACCCATTGATCATGGCTTGCGACGAGACTTTCGTTTATAAAATGATCGTGGAGAAGAAATTCGTGCTACCTGTTAAAATTGTTTCAAAGATCTTCTATAGGAATCCGGATTTCGTAGTTCGTTTTCTCAAATTATTGAAACCTTGTGAACTAAACGAGACTGAGCGCACTCCATTCGTGATCGGCATCGATAGATACAAATCTTTCCTCCCTAAATTAATAAAGAAACGATTGGAGGCTTTCGTGGAACTGTGTGAGATTCACGAGACTCATCTACCGGATATTATTTTGAGCAACACATGCGCTGAAATATTTCTGAAGAAAGCTCAGCAACATCTGATACAAAAGCCGCTTGTATATATCCGCATGTTACCATTCAAAAAAATTAATGAGGATTTAATGGAGAGAGTATTTCCTGGTTTACTGCCCGCGGAAATGTCTTCTTTCGATACAGATAGTATGCTTGATTATTTGAAACATTATCCACGTGATAAACAATACGATCTGCTCCATAAGTCATACAAGGATAAATATGATGCCGATTTTCTCGACGAGACAAAAAATGTCACGCCTGCCTTATTACAATTATTACCTACTGAGGAACGGATCAAACAGGCTAGAATTAAAATCGAGAAGCAGAACTTAGAGGAGGATCATTATAAAGATATGATGGAATACGAAACAGTTTGGATTTGTTATTTACCTGTTAACGAAGTCATACCGGTTATCAAAGAAAAATTAAATAAAACTAAAGATGAAACAGATAGAATTGGTCTCCTTTGTCAAATGATTTATGTTTGTAATGTTAATAAAGATGATGATGCATTGTTCGATATCTTGACATATTTTTTAAATAGACATAAAAACGAAAATTCTTGGGTATTCCAACAAATATTCAGTCAACTTTTACGAATATATAATTTACCTTATTTAAATAAAAAGCAGATTTCTCTTATACTAGATATCGTTCGATTGTTTTATGTAAAAAATGAATTCGTGCCGGAAGAAATGCTTTTGGCATTAATACATTTCAAACTTATACACAATATGCCAATTGAGGAGTTGATCGATATGTTTCTAGAGAAGAATCAATGGTATATAAATTTTAACGTACTCAAAGAATATCCACAGTACGAGAGGCAATGTCTCGTAACTTTCGCAAATCAAATTGAAAAGAAATCTTTTCAAGAGAATGATGAAAAAAAAAATATTTTCTGCCAATTTTTTGTAGCAATATACGATTTTAACAGCAGGTGTAAAAAATCATGCGTTAAAATAGAAGAAATGACAATTAGGGATTATCCTTGGTTAATGGATGTTATTCACGAAGTAATACGTATCGAAGAAGATTCTTGGAACGTGAAAAATATATTGCAGAAGAATGAACCAGAACTATACTGCAGTTGGTTTCCTTCAAACATCGCGAATGTAACATCAGGCGCAGCGCTCGCTCTTTTGAAACGAGATTTACAAAACATACTTGACAATTGGGAAAAATACTTGGAAGACTGCATGAAGAACTACCATTCAAAACATGTACAACACTTCGTCAAGGCTACGCGGTGGTACAAAGATTTACCCATTAAATTTGCTGAACGTTGCATGAAGTATGTATACGATAAAAGTACAGATGAAATATCATCTAGCCTAGTTATCTTGGCCCTTTTACTTCAAGGTGATGAGTTGACAAAACTAATCGATCCTTTCATACCCACAGAAACAACGATAAATACCGATCATCCAAATGCCAAAGATAACTATAAAATTATACAAAATTTACCGTTGAGCATGAGACTTTCCAATCCACCAATACCTCTCGATCTCGTAGTTAGATTGTGTGTAGGAGATTACTTGTCAATAGCTTTGATGACATTAACAAACGTAAGTAGGCGAACTTCTTCGCCTAAAGTTATATCAGTCGCACAAAAGTTGATGAGTATGCGTGTAAGTACACGTAAACACGGGGTTAGGCTGATGTACTTAATAGCTACTATGCATGAGCTTATAGATTTTCTCCAAAAAACATGGGCAACCGAGAATCATCATTCAGTACGACAAGTTTTATTCGAGGCATTCCAGAAATGTTTTCTTACAAAACCAAATCCTGAAACTTGGTCGCTATATTGTCAAACTATGTCGACATTGAGTCTCAATGACGAAGCATTGCTTTTGGAAATAAAGCTGTTTCCCGAAATTCCCAATGAATACGTCGTAAGATATCTCGATCTATGGCTCAAAACAATAGATGATTTTCAAGGACTGGGACTGGATGATCAGAAAATAAATAAATACATTGTCAATTTCTTAGCGGCGCTTACTGCATCTATTTTCAATCTTTTATCTGAAGAATTTGCTGAAAATATACTTCGAAGATTTTTATTCCATATGAATAGTAATGTATCCAGGGCAACAAGATGTTTTACAATATCGTTTATTTTATCAGAGGATAAGGACAAATATGCAGCACGCATCAAAATATTCGCCGATGTCTTTTGTAACGCAGTGATAACTTACTGGAATGTACCCCATCCTAAAAAAATGTACTTTTATCCAATCAACAAAGCCGTGCGTTTATTCATAGATGATTTCGTCAGTAGCTACATTAATAAATTCTGCTTTAATAAATCTATTAATCCAGAAATTATCGATAACATGCAAATGATATTTTTATCTGTCTTGTCACCTAGACAGGACGCGAAGTCTTATTTATTGTTGATATACGCCAAGAAATTACAAGAATGCATATCAACCAATAACTCCTTTGGTCTAAAACTTGGTCAGCAGTTGCATGAATTAACCGACATTTTCTCATCGCTATTAGTCTTGTTTATGGCTGAAATTCTCAAATACTTCCTAAGTAAAGTATATGAACATTCCGATTTGGAAGAAGTCAAGTTTAATGTTATAGAAGGCCTTATTGAAGCTGGCAATACGGATTCCTGTTTTATGGCTGTGACAATGTTACCATCGACGATCCAGACGAAACACGTAGCAAGATACAATCAAATCGTTGGAAAGTTACGAGAAATGCATGAGGAGCTTGCTACCACGACCGTTTTATGCAATCATTTAAATGAAACGGACTTGAAAATTACTTAAACGAATCGAGTAAGTTATATATTGTTGTGTATTCTCCATGATAATATTTTGTTGCGATAAATAACGTTTTTATATAATGATGATTGAATCGTAAAACCTTTGTACATGTTAAACTATTAATGCATATATCTTTAATAGAAGTTATTGAATTTTTATAGAAGAAAATATTTTATAAATAAAATAATTATTGAATATTTTGCAGGATATGAGTCTAAAGTTATTTTCTTTCTTTTTCAGAAAATTATTAAAATGTTTCTTGAAGAAATGAATATTATAAGAGCTATTATTATATTAGTTCTAGATGGATAAAATAAAAATATGCATATTTTTACAAGGATTATGGATACATGAATATAAAAATGTGTAAATACAGTAAAGATTTATAAAAGTATAAATAAATAATATATTTTTATTAAAATAAATACCTGGTGTATAGCATATATTCATTTTAATTAATTATAAATTATTTAATATGCTTCAATAAATTAAATCAATTAAAATAACTGATGAATGTACTTTTTATGGTGCATGATGACTTTTTCAATAAAATAATTTTCTAGTAAAATAATTTTCTTTCTTAAACAATCTTTTTATGAAATAAAAGACTTAGAGGTTTTGAAAACAGAAAATAACAGAAAGTTTTTTTTTTTACTCTAAAATTGTGCGCCGTGCGATTTTAAAACTGATTTAATAATAGATTCTGTTCACGTTGCTTGAAATTCGCAAAAATTTGAAAAGAGAAAGCGAAGATGCTCAGTACAAAAAGTACAAGCAACGCAAACAGATACATTGATTGTCCATGGATCCACCATTTTCAATTCTGCAAATTCCGGATTCATGATTGTGATTCAAACATACACACACCATTATTAAATACTTAAATTTTATAAAATAGAAAAGTAAATATAAATAAATATTTAATTAAATAATTTTAATTATTGAAAATAATTGTTAAATAATATATAATTAAAAATAAAAATAAATTCAGATAATCTATTATCGATTCAGATTGATATTTGGAATTGATAAATACGAAATAATATAGGAATAATATAAGCAAATATAATAGTCTTCGTTTTATTTTATTTAACGTTAGCAACGTTTTAAAAAATCAGGTACATCGGATATTAATTTTACTGATTTTAATTAATTAATTTATGCAGCTAAGGATAATGCAATCATCCAATTTTATTATAAATTTTTGTATTTTTATAAAAGAAAATTTATTGTAGAGTATTTTACATTCATTATATATGTATTTACAATTAATAAAGATTATGAAGATTAAATTTCGATATTTTTACAAATCCATATTTATATGTTTGCAAAATCTATCAAGTTTCCTAAATCGTATCATAAGATAAGATTGATAATCAACATTACAAGATTGATACTCGACAATAATAAAACTAATAATATTGATATGAATACAAATATGTCAAAAAATGTCAATAATATATTTGAACCAATTTATAATTTATTTTGATGCCATCTTTTCATTATTTAATAATTATAAAAAATTTTTTTTTTCAATAAATCATTAAAATTAGGTATTATTTAATTATTAAATATTAGTTAATGATTTTTTTTATTAATCTATATTTTTACATACCACAAATTTAATTAGCTTTTGCAGTTTTATCAAATGTGAATGTATCAATCTATGCAGAATGAGTAATATCGTCACATATAGTAAGTGAATTGTACTTAACCAGCACCGGAATAATCACGTAAGTTTTTTTTGAAAATAATAATGGGAGCATCCCGTTTGATTATGTTGTGATTGACCACAACCATATTATAGCGATCGGTGCCTAAGGCTTTTCACTGTTCAAGCGCTGTGAGTGGTTAGTGATCAATCACAACAAATGGACGTCACTCGAAAATAATCATTTAATATTAATAAATAATATTAATTAATAAATAATTAGTCAATAAATATTATTTTTGAAGAACAATTAAATATAAATAACTCGCAAATCTAAAGGAAATTAATTAAGATATAAATAATATTACTACATCTTCCTTATTTAATCTTCCTTATTAATTTTTATAATATTTAAAATTCGAACAAGCAATTTATTTTATTTTTTTATCCTTGGTACAATTATATCACCTCGATAGGATAACATTTATTAAATGATATGACGAAATCTTGCATAAAAATTATAATCTACTATTACGTAGTTACATATTTGCAAAAATAGATGCAGAAGTATTGATCTTTTCTAAAATATTGATAAACATTTGCGCAATTTATTATAATTTCAAAATAGAATTTCAGCAAAACTGTAATGATGGCAAATCATCTTAGTGATATATTTGCAAAATTAAATTAAAAAATTGTTCAATAATTGAGAAAAATATTTTAGTTGTATCATATTTAAAACGTTTAAAAATATATAATTAAACTATATATACTTAAGAAAATGCAAAATTATTCTTAAATTATATTATAGAAATATTGCAACATGAAATATTATACATTGAAATATAGTATGATAAAATTTTAAATATAACGATTTTTTTAAATAATCCCAGACAAAATAAACTTTCAAGGAACGTTTTTTTTGTGATTTAAAAAAATTATTGAATTATTTCAATTTTAAATAATTCAATAATCTTTAAGTAGGTGGCTTTAACATAGGAGATTCACCTTTTTTTGGACTTGAATTTATTTCTTGTTGCTCCAATCTACGATGTCTTAACATTGTAGATATTACTCCATTAAAGCTAGCAATTTTTTTCTTGGCACTACCTTTTGGAGTACTTTCGCCAATCCTCCGAACAGGTAATCTTGGTAATGACATTTCATCCATAAAATCAAAGTCAGACTTTTCTTCAGTTCTATAAAGATAATGTCAATATATACAAAAAAAATAAAAATAATTAAAAATTACTGCTGAAAACTTACTTATATTCTGGAGATTCAAGCTCCTGTTGTAAATTGTTTGAAGGAACAGGAGAAGGCCCTCGTCTACCAGGACACTTCCATTCAAGTTCTAGAATACAATTATTTATTTCTAAACCTTCAATTAATGAGAGCATCTCCTCAGCCTTTATATTCCATTTATGCTACAAATAGAAAAATATAAAGATATTTGTTGAAAATTAACACGATAAGGTTTTAAATGTAAGCATAACATTAATTAGTAAGTAATTAAAAAACAATCAATTAAGTATATATGTGCAAAAGAATCTTTTATAAAATTATATAAATTATACATAATGAGAATTTGATTAAAGATTGACATATCGAATAAATATGATTCTATTTCACCTTTTCATCCATTTCATATTTCTCATCATCTGAACACTCTACAAACCAATCTTCTTCAGTGCGTTCCATTTTCTTTGGTAAATGTTAAGAAGATTCCGTCAACCTTAAATTTGATAAAAATACACTGAATCGATGCGTTTTCGTGTAAAAATAAAGATTTAATTAAAAAAATGTGTCGCTTTGTTCTGTAGAAATATTAATCATTAATCATTAAATTATTGACAACTATTCAAAGGTTAGGAAAACTCAGCCTCGAAATACCGCGATGTGAGCATGCGCTGCGTTCATATTTTCATGCATGATGAAAGTTACTAGTTAGTAGTACGCGTAAGTCCGATAAGTTAAAATTTATAGCGAAATTTATAACGGAACAGCGCGATCAATCACAATTCTGCTTTCTTTTCTTCGATTGTGATTGGTCTCGTTGTTTTGTTGTAAATTTTCGCTCATGAGACGGCCGCCTCAGTGTAAACTAGGAGATACGGTCAATGCGATGCTGTAAATGCTTTGAAGCGTTTTTTAACTGAGTTTACTCAGTTTGTAAAATTCTTTCTTCTAATTGGTCCTTTAAAGCATTTGCAGCGAGACTTTTGTCGTATTCATAGTCAGAAATTGTACTTAATGCATGGTCAATGGGTAGTAACAGTAATTGATTAAGGAGCAGGCATAGAAATCGACCAATCGTAGTTGATTATTTTTCTCACATTCAACTATGATTGGTCAATTTCTACGCCCTTCTTAATCTACTGCTGTTACTGCCCATTGTAGAATGGACTTTAAAGTAACTATGAATATGGGCATTTATTACAGCCTTGGATTCTTGAATTCGACCATGCCGATTATGTTCGCTTTGCGTGATACTTTGTAGTTCATGCTTGATTCTTGTTTCAAATAAAACCAACGAGTAAACAACTTTTGATAAAAGCTTACGATACAACTTGTTGCTATAAATATTCAAAACATATATATTTCTTAAAAATACATTTATGACAGAGTGTTTTATAAAGAAAGAAGAGTGTTTTTTAACCATAAATAAATATTCAGTAATATTGATTACACATTTTTTTCTAACTTGTTTATATGTTCTGAAAAATAACTTTTAAATTAAATTGAATATTTTCATTTTTCAGATAAAATGTTGAGCAAAAAGCCAATTCGAACTTATCAGAGAAAACCTACAAAGAAGCCTTTTATGAATTCATTGACTTCTGCTGCATCAAGTGAAAAATATTTTGTGGGAAACATTTGTTTTAAAAATGAACTGTTTAATGATTCTTTAAATTATGATCCATTCGAAACGACATTTGACAGACTTGCCAAAGATGTAGTGTAAGAAAAATTTATAATAAGTAGATTGAATATGTTCAGATTTAATTTATTTTTGTTTATATTTTATATGAATTTACTTTATTTTTGTGTGTTATATGTATTGAAGATTTATGTGCTTATATGTGTATATTTAATCCTAAATTTATATATATTTCGACACAGAATACCTCCTATGCCATTGGATACAAATCAAAATGATTCATGGAAAAGCAGTAGCAGTGATGGTGATATTATGGATGCAACAAGTCTAAAATCTGAACATATAGCTTCTGATCTTTTTATACACAATAGTACACTTAGTTCAATAAATGTTAGCCATAAATCGACTCGTAAATGCAGGAAACAAAAAAAATCTGAATCAGAAGTTATGATTTCTATAGGAATGTTGTCAAAAAAAACAAAAAATATGTCAGTTAAAAATAAAACGTACTTAGGAAAAGCACAGGTATGTCCATGGTTTTTTTTTAAATAAATGATTGAATTTATTTTTAATTCATTTAATGTATGTATTAATAACTAGGAGCAGAAAAGACAAGCAAAGATAAAAAAAAAGAAAAAGCTAAAAAATAAGTCTAAACCTAGTCGCGTATGCAATGAACAGATATCTCATATAAATTCGAATGCTCTAGATAATTTGGAAGATATTTCATATAAAAACAATATTTTATGCAGCGATACCCATGAATCTTCGCTACAAAATGCTTTAAAGATTGACAAAACAATTACGCAATCACAAAATCAATCAATTACAATTAATAAATCCATTGCTGATTTTAAGCATATAGGAAACTATCAACAGATCATCAAACCATGTTTTGTTAAATTAAATGCTTGTACTGTGCAGAATTACATATTGAATCATGAAAAATTTCCAGAAAATAAGGAAGATATATTGCTTGATACAAAATTCTTGTTACAAGATACTTTACAAACTAAGAAAAATATTTCTAAAGTACAAAGTCCTGTTTCGCAATCAATCTCAATTGAACATAATGGGTTTGATGGCTTTAAACATACATCAGTTAAACATTGTTCTGTAATATTGTGCAAGAATATTGTTAAAGATTGGCATGTATTACGAAATAAAAGAGATGTGAAAGATATTATCAATATAAAAGATAAACCAAATATATCACATTTGGTTTTCTGTAACTCATCTGAAATTACTCCAAACTGCAAAAAAAGTATTACACTTACATCATATGATACAAAGAAAAAAAGAGATCTAATAAAAAATAGTTTTGTAAAAGTGGAAAGATTAGAAATAGGAGAATTTGCAAAAGAAAATAATACAGTATTTGAAAAAAAACCTAACATATTTTCTAGCACTCCTTTTAGCAAACGAGTCAAACATAGTTTAGTAGTATTATCTCCTATTAAGTCTAATATTTATAACAAATCACATTGGAGTCAAGAAGGTTCATTAATAACTACAGAAGAAGATATTTCCAACAGTGATCAGACAAATTCTCATTCTTTATTTACGATATCAGAAGATTCTAAACTCAAATTCACAGATGTACAGGAACATCAAACACAAATTTTATTGTCCCAGAAATCACAAACTACAAATTCTGTGGTTAAAAATGGAGTAATGTCTTACAAGAATGATGTTCATGCAGCTCAGAAATATGATACAGAATGTGATGTTAAAACGGAAATTTCGTATTTATTAAATATGTCTACTTATCAATCTCGATCATTATTTGATGATACAAGTAGTCACAATCATTCGCCAAAAGATACAAATGAAGATAAAATAAAAAAGAAACATTCTGATACACATAAATTTATAGAAACTGTAGATTCATCCATTAATTTATGTTTAAAACAAAAGCAATTATCAAGTAACAATAAAGCTGATGCAAGCTCATTATATATATCACCTTCTAAAGGATGTTCAACATTCAAAGATTTAGATAATATGCAAAAAAATAAATTTCAAGAAAATGATATAACAGAAATAAATATAATAGAAACAATTCATGAGAGCCTTAAAGATAAAACTATTAACATTAATAAACACAGTTTATTTGATGAAAGTCAAAATAAGATTAACATGGATGCTCGTATATTGCTTACACGATTACATGATCCGATTAGAATAGGAAGAAGAATGCAATATCCTAAATGGCATTTAAACATATCAAATATTTCCGATAGTTTAAATAATGAAACCATACAATCAAACAACGAAGTAGTAACAATTGACAAAGACCTTTCTAATGTTCAATCAGCACATAATTCTGAGCATTCTAAGAATGCAAATTTGTCTTGCAATCATTTTGAATCCTTCATGACTCAACCGTGTAATGATACAAATGAACAAATGAATCAATCTGTTTTTTTAAAACCGGGCAAGTATTGGACTAGATCTTTGTCAATATTAAATAATATAAACGATGAATCTAATTTAGACAAATTAAGTATCGGAAAGGGGAAAAAATGGAGGCAAAGCGTCAGAAATATACTGGATATGCAAAAACAAGGTATTTTTTATGTTATCATTTTTTTATTTCTTATTTCTTTACACCAACTGATTCATCTTTTTGGTCTCTGTATAAAAGTATTAAAATATAGTAACTTAAAAAATTAATAATTTACGAGATATTCTTATCTTGCATAAAATGATAGATTAAAATGTGACAACCTGTATGTTTTTTATGCAAATACTTAAAGATCATCAGTTAAAGCATTAAAATTTTGTATAAATATTAATATTTGTAATTTGCTTGAAAAACAATTGAAGATAACTTGTTAAACAAAATTGTTATTTAGAAGCATTAACCAATAACATTTTATAAACAAATATAATAAGAGATCTTAAATGATTTTTATATTTAATTTTTACATTTTGATGTTGTTTTTTTACATTGTACAATTTTTAAAGTGATAGTATTTCAAGATTTGATATATTTTTATAATAATGAGATTGAACAAATATAAAAAAAATTTTGATACTTACATTTAAAGTTTTTACTAAATGGGTAAGCTTTGTAGTATTTATAATCTAATAATATTATATAATGTATGTATTATATATGTAGTGGCAGATAATATTAAAATTATAATAATCGTTATGTGCAGGAATTTTCCAAAGTTGTTTGAAAAAGGATAAAGATGATACGAATTTATCTAGCGGTAAGCTTAACATATCAAACGCATCATCGTTTAATGGTAACAAATGTAAAGAATTTGATTTAGCGAGTTATCCTAGATTTTCTAAAAGGATCTCGGTGAGAGTTGTACTTAATAGTACAAACACTAAATGTGAAATCAAAGACACTCCATTTCTTGAGGCATTTGGAATAACTGCAGAAAAATCTTCAAACTCGAAATTATCATGTAAGTACTTTTAATCACATATTACTGGGTACAATTTATTCGTTTTACGGCATTACATTTTTACATATTACACAGAATGTTACATTAATAATTAATATAAATTAAATAAATATTTACAGACTGGGAAAAATCATTGATATATAACAATCAAATTATCAATAATCATTCTAGTACTGCAAGAGATGTTGTTTTACAGAGATGTTCACAAAACTGTTATATTCCCTTTGAAGATTGTTTTCCAGATTTGTATGCAGATCTTAGTATATATTTATACAAATGGTTTTAATTAATGTAAATATATTTAAATTGTAACATTAATTACTCTTCTTATTGATAGGTATTTGGAACATTGCCACAAAATAGGTGAAGGTGTTTATGGAGAAGTTTTTCTTTATGAATGTGAGGGTAAAAAATCTGTTATAAAAATTATTCCTATAGAAAATAAACAATTAGTCAATGGTGAACCACAAAAGAAATTTAATGAAATATTGTCAGAAATTGTGATTGCAAAGTGGGTTAATTAATTAATTGTATGCACATATTGATGACATTGTTGACAAAAATCATGAAAGAAGATATTTGCAGGGAATTGGATAATCTAAAATTAAATGATACTTATAAAACTAATGGATTTGTAGAAGTTAAAAATATCAGCTGTATTATAGGAAAATATCCAGAAAAGCTCTTAGAACTTTGGAATATTTATGACAATCACAAAACGTCCGATAATGATTGTCCATCGATGTTTGATGAAAATCAATTGTACATTGCTCTTGAACTGAGTCACGGTGGAGAAGATCTTGAAGCCTTTGTATTTCAAACTGCGGAGGAGGCTTACGCTCTATTTTTACAGGTTAATTGTTTATCATCGATATATATCAAATAACAACAATGTAACATGTTTGATGAATTATTAGTCCATCACTGTTTATAAATTTTTGTAGACTGCATTAGCCTTAGCAGTTGCAGAAAAAGCATTTGAATTTGAACACAGAGATTTACATTGGGGTAATATATTAATATCAAGAACAAAAGAACAATATATATATTATAATCTCGGAGGGAGAGAGATCAAGTTTCCTAGTAAAGGTGTAAAGGTTTGTTCTACGAAAAATATTTTAAATACTATTACAACTTTTTTTATAATCTTATTAAATTTTTCTCAAGGTATCTATAATAGATTTTACGTTATCGAGAATGTTATACCAAGGTTGTTGTATATATAACGATCTCGCACTAGATCCAGCTTTATTTACTGCTATTGGTGAATACCAATTTGAAATTTATCGTCTTATGCGCGACAAAATTCAGTAAGTCACATACATTTATTTCTTACCTTTTTCTTATATACTTTTTCTTATATATGTTTGATTTGTTTGTTCCATCATGTGCAGGAATGATTGGCGAAAATTTGAACCATATACGAATGTTTTGTGGTTGCATTATATTTTGGATAAAATGATTACTGCGGTAAGATACAAAAAGAAAAACTTGAAAGTTCACAAGCACGCTGTTATTAGATTAAAAGAATTTAAAGATATAATTTTAAACTATGATAGTGCATACGACTTTGTAATCAATTCTAATAGCGTCGTGTAACTATGGCTGTGGTCAAAGTCTTGCTACAAACGCTTTGAAGCGTTTAATGGACCAATTAGAAGAAAGAATTTTGCAAATTGACCAATTAAAAAACGCTTCAAAGCATTTGTAGCATCGCGTTGACCGTACCTTATGATGCAAGCCTTTATGAAATATCTCTATAATAAATCAAATTTTTTGAAATTTTTCAGATATTCTGTTATATATTTAGCTTAAGTATAATTATATATATAAATGATTATTAAATTATTCTAATATTAAGATAAGAAAATTATGATATTGATCTCATTTTGATATTTTACATACGTATTATATAATAATTGTTTATGATTAAAATTAATTCACATTCTTTGTTTCTTTTTTCAATTTC